ACCATTACACACGTTAGCTAGAGGTGGGAAGCACCTCAGAACACATACCAGAACACATAAAAGAAAAAAACAGAAAAATGCAACAGATGCAACCCAGTTGAGCTACCGGTAACGAATGGGCATTGTTTCGGTAAGCAACTATGAAGCAAAAAATAGTTACTTTGCAAAATTATATTAGGCTAATTAGTGAGATCGTGATGGAAGGGGAAGGCTAAGAGGGATGTGGTAGGACAAAGAAACAGTCCGAACGCCATTGAGGTCGGCCCCTAGCCATGTCGGCGTTTGTCAACCTGTAGCACTTGTGGCATAATCGGGATGTCTCCTTCTTGGTAAAAGATTGTGTTTACAATGCCACCGTTCGCACGGTGTTGCTATATGGAAGCGAGTCATGAGCAGTTCGCGTAGACGACATGCGCCGGCTTTCGGCCTTCCACAACGGGTGCTTCAGGAGGATTGCTCGTGTGTGGTGGCAACAACACACCTGCAATAGTGAAGTCAGACGCTGTCTTAGGGAGTGAGTATTCCTTTCAACAAGATGATTTTGCTGCGGCAGTTAAGATAGCTTGGTCACGTCCTGTGTATGGCAGCTAAGCGTTTGTCTTATTGCGTTATTTTTGCTCGTGCAGTACTCAAATGGAAAAGACCAACTAGAGGTCCAGCTCCTGTCGGCACGCGTGTTCTTTGTGAGTCATTTGAGCGTCCAACGGGCGTCCGTTTGGCGTGCTGTAGGGTCCCGGCTAGACAATTTTAGGACGCGAAAAGAACACTCAGGAAAATGCGCGGAAAAGCGATTTGAGTGGTTCAGGTTTAATCCGTTTCAGCAAATAGTTCGACGGCAGTGTTCTAGGACGTGGTGAGTTTTCGCCTGGCAAGCGTTCTCCCTAAAAAGCCACAAAGTTCTGCTTATCAACACTGCGACGTGGCGGATGTGACTCGCCACAAGCTAAAGTAACTGCCCCGTGGATACCCGGAAAATGCTATCTAATCTACGGACATCATTTGCTTATTCTCACATTCCTGACGAGTAAAACTCACAAATGCTGCGGCACATTCACAAACACAAACTACACCCATACACAATTGGTTGGCGGCATTCGGATTCGCCTGTCACTGCGGCCAGTCACAGGACGCCCGCGCCTACAGAGGGACCATGGATGGCTTGCGCTGCACCACCCACAGCTCCATCCACACACCCCCATATCCAGTGTAAACCCGAAGGAATAAGACCGGGAGGCATGTGGATGGGAGCCACGTTTCATCAACGGAGCCGGCCCACACTCCTTCACAGGCAAACACAAGCACGCTATATTTGGAGAATCAAGTACAAACAAGGCGGTGGCTGGACCGTAGTCCGTCCGCTCCACACTGAGTGCACGGAACCACTCTTCGAACGTAGCACGACCACAACGACCGTGCACCCCGTCCCCTCCAGAAACGACCAACTGTCTCCTGGAGCCAGTATGGACGAGGTAGTGGGTAACAGACAGGTAGGCATCTTGTCAACATGCACATCAAGCGCAGCCACATCGGGGATATCAAGCAACAGCCAATCACTTGAAACGACAAGATGGAGTAAAATAAATCCAATAATGCATACAGATACGGTGGCATAACTCTTCGCTAAATTAGCAGATGAAGTAAATTGGTCAGCAACGAATCCGCGATAAGTAAGAAATGTCCATCAGTTACTTAAAAATGCTACAAACGTAACAAAGTTACCGAAGATAAGCGCAATCAGCGAAAGCAACTTGGCCAGTTAATAGGAGATTATTCAGGTAAACAGAAGAAACCAAATAAAGTGGAATGAAATTTATCCAGCGTAAAAAGGTCTTATTTTAGTGTAAGTTGGTTTGGCCCAACTGCGGTGAAGAAACATTAAGAATGCAACATCAGTCTCAGCATGGGGCACCCCATACACAAGTACATACGTATATACACCCATACACATAAATTCACCGTTACACCAGACATCTATTTTTGTACATTTTTGATCACACTATGTTAGCTCAACATGGTCATGCCTGTAAAGTTATCCCAACAAATTGATTTAGGGATCACACTGGAAGAAAGCATCTTGTAGCGGTTTTCGAACCCTCGGGATAATCCGTAGATCATTTGGGATTTTAATGGAAGAAATGTTCGTTAATTTTTTACGGTCTTTGTTAGACCGCACCTGGAGTATTGCGTCTAGGCTTGTCCTCCTTGCCTGCCCCGTGACAGGATGGCGGAAGAGCGGGTCTTAAGAGTCGGAACCAAAATGGTCAACGGGTTGCGGCACCTGTCCTATCCTGACAAGTTGCTCAAGCTAAGGATATTTTCCTTACATTACTGTCGTCGTCGTGGCGACCTGATTCTCACTCATCGTGTACTGACAGGGTTGATAGGTCCATACCTCTCATGGCTTCTTTATCCTACAAAGTTACCTACTGTCCGCAGGCATCCGATGGAATTGCAAACACAGATCTGATCAGGTTCGAGCTGACACTCGTTTGCCAAGCCGAGTGATAGATTCCTGGAACGCGCTACCTGAGGACGTAGTCTAGTCATCCACTGTGACAGAGTTTAAACATCGCCTCGACGCCGACAACTTACAGCTCCGAATATTCCCCTTCTACTCTTACTTTAGTTTCTGTTTGCACTCCAGCTAGGTTCCTTTTTTATTCAGTCTTACTAACTTCCTTTTCATTGTCCTCTATCGTACCCTTCTGCTTTACATATAGTCTACAAGTTTTTTTCCTTTTGTTTTATTACACGCGGCCGGCACAGCGAGGACTGCCAACGCAGGGCACGTGTGTTTTGTTTGGTTGACCATGCTTTGATTTGCACGTGCTAATTTGCCTCCCACAACTGGCCGATCTTGCCACAGCATTCTAACGTAGATCGACGGCGCATACAAGATGTAACGACTATGGGAGTTTCATTTTGTTCCTCTCTTATTTGAAGTTGAAGATACCATCTGTCCGGCAGCGTTGCAGATCTCTGCCTGACTAGAAACGAATCGTGTGCCAAATGCCGGTAGACACGCCTATCACTCAGTACAGAGAGACAAAAGTCAAAAAGGAAACTGACAGCAGAGGTGGTCCTCTGGAAACATTCATACAGCTCTGCACTGATGTCGCAGCAGGCAGTGTCGCAACCCATCGCAGGGAAAGCACTGCACAGCCTTCAAGTTCAAGTTCAGTTGGGACCGGAACGGTAGGATAATCCCGTGAATGTTCCTTCTTTTGCGTATCGTCGGATCTGGAATTGATAGGTCTGCTTGAGATGCTGAAAAGCCTAAAACAAAGACCGCATCACACCCTGTCAAACCAATTACTGCCCACATTCTCCTGCCCAGCAGTCCCTGCCAGGCCGGTTTATGTGAAGTGAAAGAGTGAAGAGTAAGCTAAGTAGACAAGAGGGGAAAGGTCAGCTAAATAGTGATAATACCAAGGTGTGAGAAACTAAAAAAGAAGGGAAAGTTAAAGATACAAATCGGTTAGGAGGTTTGGTACTGCCACCCAAGAGCATCTAACTGACGCTCGAAACCCTCAACCGTAGACTCCCTAACGACGTGTTCCGGAAGCGAGTTCCAACGTTTAATAACTCGGTGCGACAAGCGAGTTTCCGTTCGTACCCGGTCAGAAAGCAATTTGTGCAGCTTCAACAGGTGACTTGGGAAACTAAGCAGCTTGGCAGGATAAAATAGCCAGGACAAATCTGGACTGATCTTACCAGTTAAGATACGGTAAGTGAGGATTAAGTCTCTTCTAATTCTCCGGTAGTGCATTGAGTACATACTCACGCTAAGCAAACGTTCAGGATACGTTTGCCCCCGTAATCCTTGCATTAACCTTTCACCCACTCTCAAAACCCTCTACAGTTCCATTTCGCCCATTACAAGAAAAGGTGGACAAGCCTGGAAACAGTATTCTAAGTGGGGTCGCCTTCGATCTTGAAGTGACACCTTTACCACAATCCAAGCATTTGCACACCATCGTGCCTCATACTTGACAAGTAAATCTCCAGGCAAATGAAAGTTCAAATTCAAGTGGGACTGGAACGATAGGATGAATCCTCTAAGCGTTCCTTCTTGAGCGGGTCGTCGGTCGAGTTGATAGGGTTGCTCCGACTTCTCGATGGGTCTAAAATGAAAACACCCGAAAAAACACCCTGGTCCTCCAATTTAATGCCCACGTTCCTTAAATTAGCTGTCCCTGCTATGTCTTACATGAAGTGAGGGAGAAAAATCGAGGGTAAAGAGTAGGGGAAATCAGTTAAAAGAAGAGAATAATACCAATGGGAAGTACAAAAAAATAGATTCGAAGTATGAAGATGGGAATTAGTCAGGAAAAAGGAAAGGTTTCGTGTTGTCACCCAAGAGCATCGAGTTGGAGCTTAAACCCCTTAACCGTGGCTTCCTTGACATCATTTTCTGGAAGCAAGTTCCAGCGCTCGATGACTCGACGCGATAACCGTGTCTCAGCTCTAACCCGATCGGACCGCGGTTCGTCCAGCTTAATACAATGCCCGCGGAGCACATAACCTAGCAGGACTAAATAGTCAGAACAAATCAAAGCCAACCTTCCCAGTCAAAATATGGTAGGTTAGGATTAGATCCCCTCTAATTCTTTGATAGTGCATTGAATTCATGCTCAAACTAACTAGGCATTTGGGGTACGTTTGTCCTCGTAACCCCTCGACCAACCTAGTACCGACACGCAACACCCTTTCTATTGCCATTTTGTCCCGGACAAGGCATGGTGGACAGGCCTGGACGCATAATTCTAGGTGGGGTTGTTCAAACGCCGAGAAGAGCTCCACAAATACATTAACTGTTAGGGTCCCGAAAGAATGACGGATAAACCACAACATCCGAAACACTTTACTAGCCGCCTTCAGTGTAGTGTGGAACAGGGGACGACACCTAGATCAACCCGATGAGTCACGTGAGGAAGTTCAATCCCATCGAGCACAACTTGTGGAGGAATCAGACGCTCCGATACACAGCACTGAACACTATGCCCGGTTTATGGGCAGCAACCACAAGCCAGACCATTTCCAAAGTCCATCCAGAGCCCACTGAAGAGCCACAGTACATCCAGGGATACCAACAATATTCCATAACTTCAGGTCATCAGCAAATAAGAGCGATGGTACCTCAAGCTCCCACGGCAAGTCATTCACGTGGACCGAGAACAGCAACGAATCTAGCACGTAGCCTTGCGGAACGTCGCTAAGGACAGCTTGTCGAAACGAAAGACCGCTTCCCACACGAATACAGTTCCCGTCATTCCAGAAGCGCTGACACCAGGAAGCACGTCGCTATATATAGTTCAAGTTCAAGTTCAAGCGGGACTGGAACGATAGGATAGATCCCGTGAGTGTTCCTTCTTCGGCGGGTCGTTGAACCAGGAGTTGGCGAACTTTGAAATACTGATGGACCTAAAACAAAGACCGCATCACACCCTGTCCAACCAATTAATGCCCACATATCCTGCCCTAGCAGTCCCTGCTGGGTCGGTTACGTGAAGTAAGAAAGAGAAAAAAGTAAACGCAGGAGGCAAAAGAGAAAGTGGTAAGAGCTAAGCAAGTGGAATACCAAGATATTTGAGTCAATAAAAAAGAACTGAAAAATGAAGGTGAGTCAGCTAGGAAAAAGGAAAGGTTTGCTGTTGCCACCCAAGAGCATCGAGCTGGCGCGCAAAACCCTTAACCGTAGGTTCCCTAACCACGTGATCTGGAAGAGAATTCCAGCGATCTATAACTCGGCGCGATAGACGAGTTTCCGTCCTAATCTTATCAGACCGTGGTTTATGCAGTTTCAGTGGGTGACCGCGGAGACTAGGTAACGTAGCGGGACTAAAAAGCCCTGACAAGTCCGGGCCAATCTTACCCGTCAAAATACGATAAGTGAGAATCAGGTCCCCTCTTATCCTTCGGTAGTGCATGGAGTACATACCCAAACTGAGCAAGCGTTCAGGATACGTCTGTCCCCGTAGACCCTGCACTAACCGAGTGCCCACTCGTAACACCCTCTCCAAGTCCATTTTGTCTCGGTTAAGACATGGTGGACAAGCCTGAATACAATATTCCAGGTGGGGTCGGACGAATGCCGAAAATAGCTTCACAAACAACTTGGCCGTTAAGATTCCGAAAGAGCGGCGGATAAACCACATCATACGAAACCCTCGACAAGCAGCCTTCTTCCAGTTGTCTCCAGAATGAAGTGCTGATGCGTGTACGACTCCTAAATCAACCTGCTGAGTGACAACAGGGAGTTCACCACCGCCGAGGACATATCGGGTGGGAGGATTTGCAGCTCCGATTCGGAGAACAGAGCACTTGGCCCTATTTATGGGCATCAACCATAAGATAGACCATTCCCAGAGTCTATCCAAGGCACGCTGAATTGCCTCAGGACCCCCCGGGATATCCACAATATTCCAGAGCTTAAGGTCGTCAGCAAACATTAATGATGACACCCCTAGCTCTCCCGGCAAGTCATTTACATAGATCGCGAACAACAATGGCCCCAATACCGAGCCCTGCGGAACGCCACTAAGGACAGCTTGCCTGAGCGAAAGGCTACGCCCCACCCGTACGCACTGTTCCCTCCCCTCAAGGAAGGCAGACACCCATTGAAGGGCGCGACCAGATATCCCGTAAGATCTCAACTTTAGTGAGAGCCGAAGATGTGGAACAGTGTCAAAAGCTTTCGAAAAATCTACGAATAGCACGTCTACAGCGTGGCCACTGTCTACCGCTTCGGCCCAGCTTTCACGAGCTACAAGTAAATTAGTCTGACATGAAAATCCTTTGCGGAATCCATGTTGTGCAACACTGAGAAGGTTGAATCGATTCAGGTGGTTCTCCACTGAATCCCTTATCAGCTTCTCGAACAACTTGACTACTACGCTTGTCAAACTGACAGGCCGGTAGTTCGCGGGTAGAGCGCTGTCACCGCCCTTAAAAATCGGACAGATGATTGCCTCCTTCCATTCCGAAGGTAGGCTGCAGCTGTCCAGCGATATTGAAAATACGCACGTGAGCGGACCACTCAGCTCAGTGGCCAGTTCATGCAACAGCTTCGGATGAATTGAATCAGGACCGGAAGCTTTAGAGGGATTAATGCCTTGCAGTAGCTCGAAGACCTGAGTCTCCGTTATGCTAAATTCAGCTAAGCGAGAATCCTCTGGAACTCTTGAAACCAATTCAACCTGCGGTAAAGAGGTCTCCCGAGCAAAGACCGCAGTATACTGATCACTCAGTATACAAGCCTTGTCATAGTCAGTTTGCGCAGGGGTCCCGTCTGCTCGCAATAAAGCTGGTATAGACAATTTTGCCCCGCTGCGTCTTTTAACGTAAGCAAAAAACTTCTTGGGATTAGCTGCGGCCGAGTCCGCTAAACCCTGCTCGTATTGGAGACGAGCAGTTCTGAGATGTTGCTTACATTTATTTCTATTCTCTCGATAACTATCATAGGTACTGGCTGATGGAGCTGCTTGGTAGGTACGCCAGCATCTAGACCGTTTCTTGAGTAAGTACTTGCCTGTGGTATCTATCCATGGAGGCTGTGCTCTTAACCCTCTTTTCCTAATGAGTGGAATATAGGGTGCGGAAACCTCCGTAAGGTATGCCTTAAATTTATCCCAGGCTAACTGGACAGAGTCAGCCATCGAAATCTCACAGTTCAGAACTGAAGCCTTAGTTCGCATTGCACTAAAGTCCGCCCGCCAAATATTCGGAAGTAATTCAGCAGCGGTCTCTTGGTGCTTTGAAAGAGCACATCGAAAGGATATGCATGCGTGATCGCTGGACCCTAGAGGTGCACCGCATGAAACGTCAGTCACGAAGTCCAGGGACCTAGCGAAAACCAAATCCAAAGTAGATGGCATTTGGTTATCCATATACCTAGTGGGAAAGTCAACGAACTGATGCAAAGGCACTTGGAGAGTCAGTTCAAGGAAGTCTGCACCGAATGTTCTTAATGCCGAATTGCAAGAAAGATCGGCCCAACAGACTTCCGGGAGGTTGAAATCCCCTAGAACTAAACACTTATTCGCAGACTGAGTGCGAATAAAGTCAAGTATCCCCCTGGAGGAACTTCCAGGACTTCTGTATACCACTATAACTGTAAACTGGGTAGAGGAAGTGCACAAAACAGCCGATAGGGCTTCAACAGTCTGATCCGACGACTGGAATGTGCAAGTCCTCAACACATCTAAGTTACAGCTCACATACAGTACAACGCCTCCGCCTTGGCGACCAACGGAGCGATCAGTTCTAAGCAGCGCGTAGCCAGGTAAATATACCTCACCGTCCGTGATATCCGGAGACAACCACGTCTCAGTGAAAGCAAGTATGTCGGGACGAGATTTGTCTACAAGTAGACCCAACTCGTGCACCTTGTTCCTTAGGCTACGCACGTTGCTAAGTACTACCTCAAGGAAGTCGGCACGACCATCCCTGGGTCGTGCGCCATCAGGATTGGTTCTGATAGGGCGGAAAGTAATTTCCGGCTGACCACCTGAAAACCCACCAGACGGAGGCCTTGTTCACCAGCCGCCCGTCTAGTTTTGAGGTCTTTGATAGCCTCCTTTAACTTCAACCTATCTGCCAGTGGGAGGTCCGGCTGAACGCTGACACCACTACCCTTAAGTTTGAATGCAAATCGCAGTAACGATTTGCGTTCCTCCGGGGTAGAAAGGACTACGCGAAGTAGTCGGGGTCGTGGATTTGGCGTAGCGATAGGAACGTTCCCCAATCTGGTCAGCTTTCTGACAGTGACACCAGGGAAACCAGGTGGAAGCAGCTTGCTGACTCAGTGCGCATTCCATCGGACCCTTGGTAGGGCTCGAAACCGCAACTCGACTGTTGCCAGTCCGTGGTTGAGACCACTGAGCTACGGGGGACGGCAACGACCATCGTGAATAAGTTACTAGATGTGATATAGCGCCGCTCACTATCCACTGACTTACACGTTACTGCCGTGCATAGGACAGGGTAGCCCCCTCACCAAGCGACGAGCTTAACAAACTTAAGCCGCCAATTATCTTATGGCATTATAAGCAGTTTGTTCCGTGTACTGATTACAGAAGAGTAGTAGGGGGAGTTGAATGGTATAGGTAGAATTTCGTCACATCTAGGCTCACTCAGACAGCCGCCACAAGCTCGGAAAAGCACTGTACGCGCGTTTCATCCTTTCGGGAATCATCAGCAGTGCGCATTCCATCGGACCCTTGGTAGGGCTCGAAACCGCAACTCGACTGTTGCCAGTCCGTGGTTGAGACCACTGAGCAATACATTGCGCGTTGCTTCAACATGTTTCCTCTCACTTCCTCGAATTAGTGTAACTTCAGTATAAATTCCTTAGCATAACAGTATTGCTAGTAATGCTAGCACATGAAATATTTGACTTTACGTCTTGCCACCGTTGGGTCCACACGTCTGCCTAATTGGGGCCAAAGGAAGAGATTGCCGAGGGCTGGAAGCAATTTAGGATATGACTCATAATCAAAACCAGTGGAGAATCTGTGCACATAATTGGTAAGGGTTGGATACTTACTGCATACAGAAGTAAAATAAAAAATAATAAAATATAGTGTCCCTGGTAGCACAATTGTAACAGTAAACGTAGCAAACTGAACAGAAACGACATTAGTCCAGTTCAGGCATTAAATCGTTAGTTGAAGCTAAATGCATTTAGTTTGACATTTGTTAATAAATAATACATTGGTATGATTTATAAGTGATATTATTTGACCATAACACGTGTGGTTTAAATGCATCGGTAGGTCATTTTATTTGCACAGTTTCGGTTTTGTAACCTTAGTCGCTGCTCCCGCTTGGTTCTGCGCTATTATTTAGCTCCTTTGATACTGCGTTTCCTCAGGCACGCCTACCAGGTTTTTCAGTTATAGCTTGTCTGAAACATGTGTATTCATTTTTAGCACCATTTTCCGTGCTGCATAAAGAATGACCTCAGGATTTGACTACGAAGAAGTGATGCTGTTCTCAGGTAAGCGACAAAAGGGTAAGAGGGTTTGAAACATATATTACTTATGATTGCTCACACGGTGAAGCCATCCGATAACGCTACCAACTGCTGTGAAGATGACAGGGACCCCGATGAATTGGTCCATAGCTTGAAAAAACATATTGCAATATCTCAGGTGCCAGTGTCTTTTGTTCGTCTACCGTTGTGGCTTGTGGAACCCTGCATGCCCTTTTGTCAAAG